ATATAAATACAATCAATTTAATTGGTTCTTGTATATTAAATTTATTTATTTTTAATTTTAGATTAAAAAATATTAATTTTTTAATAAATATTTTATGCAATTTGTTGAATCAAAATGTGTATCAATTTTTTTTTTAAATTATTATTTAATTGACATCTGATTGGTTCCCAGGAAAACAGGAGAAAACAAATTTTAGCAAAAAAAAAGACAGAACGTCGAATTTGATGTTGTTTTAAACAACCAAGAAATGGTTTCTATTATTCAAGAAAAATTAAAGGAAAAGAGAAAAGTCACCAATTTTAATCGTGTTGGTATTTGGAAAATATGTTATCAGGAGAGCTCAATTTCAACACTGCGTTGCTGCCTTGATTTCATTATGGTCCTTGAGTGAGACCTTGCTTGCCATTCCAGAGACATGAAACCAATGTTGGGAACTTTTTGAGAGAAAGACTAACCAAAATCTCCTTTTGGCATGTGACATGATTCTTCGGATTTATACATTTTTTTATTTACCATTGGCGTCTTTGTTATATGTTTTTGTACTTAACAAGATTAATTCATTTTCAAATGATTTTAAAAATACATTCTATAAATTAGTTTATTATATTTATAAAAATTTATTTTTTAATATTAATATTAAAATTTAAAGTCTAAATCTAATCTTATTTACCAATAAATTCAACTCTTGGAGTTGACATGACTCTTTGGATATTTTTCTGTTCAACGCCTGAAAATGTTGATTGACCAAGAAAAAATTTTGAAATAAAAAAATTGATGTCTTGCTGAACTCTAATTATTTAGGGATGGAGGGAATCATAACAGTTATTTTTTTATATTTTAAATGAGATAAATATTTTTTATTTTAATTTTATTATTTTTTATTTTTAATTATTATCTATTTTATTATAAAAATCTTTTTTTAAAAAATTAATAATAAAATAGATAAAATTAGAAATTCTTCCAAAACCATTAATTGAAAGTTAAAACTAAAAAATTTCTGTTATTTAAAAACAAAGAGGGTAAAAAGGTTGTTTACGTAAGTTATGTACCACCAAACATCTTTTTGCCTAAAATAATCATTTTGATAGAAGTAATTTTTGTTTGAGAGAGATAACGATAGATATTTCCTAGCAATAATTTGGCTCATGATCACCAAAAGAGCATGATGGAGATGGAGAGATGAAGATGGAGATTGGTCACTTAACAAGATAAAGCCAACATATTGCAATCTGGGAATCTAACCGTGCGATTGCCATTAACAAGAAAATAACAAACGCACGACCACTACCAATTTGCAAATATTCTTTGAGGTCGTTTCTTTGGTTTAGATTTTAACTTTTTTTTTTAAGATACTGATCTTAATTTTAATTTATTAAATATTAAGATGAGTAAGAAAAATTATCTTTTATTACAATATAAATTATTAATCATTTAATGTAAAAGTTAATGAATATT